AATATTCATCCTGCTCTAACCGAGAAATAATCAACTTTGTTTTGAACCCATGAAAAACATAAAAAATAGGTTATTTAAGAAAAATTGAAGCGCCTGCCTTGCATGGTCTTTCATGTACCTTAAGTTTGCAAAGACCTATTAAATACTTACATAATTTCGAACGTTCATATTTCAGGAAACAATGAGTTAAGACTTACATGTAAGATGTCTAAATCTACGCCATATCCCTTACAAACCCTAACGACAATTCGCTGAAATACAAGTTACCCTGATATGTCATTAAGCAAACAAACGCTGAAGTTAAAATTTGATACGCCGATTTTCGCTAATTTTAGACACATCCCAAAATATGCTCCCGATTTTGAACATTAATATCTCCGTGAATTTTTAAGTAAAATGCAACTGTAATATATCAAAATCTAAGTTAGTCCTTCCTCTATTTAATGTATATATATATATATATATATATATATATATATATATATATATATATATATATATATATATATATATATATATATATATATATATATATATAATAGGATATAATAGGTTTGGACAATGTCAGAGATAGTTCACCATGTAATGAATAAACAGTTCCCATGTTTATGGTTTGTAATTTGGCTCTGTGTTTCTACTACTTCTAACAGGATATCTGTGTTTCTACTACTTCTAACAGGATATCGACGACTGTCCATGTTGACTGCTTGGTCATTCAGTTCGGAATTTTCTTTTTCTCTCTCCTCTTCTCCTCCCTCATCTCTTTCTTTTGGCGCGCTTGGTTCGGACAATTCCATGTCTGAGGGCAAAAGTTTAAAATGAGACGAGTTTCGAGTGATGGTTTGATCTTTTGACGTCGCTGTAATCATGGACCCGTTTATTTCGGTGATTCGAAACTGTTCAGCTCGGAATGGTGTGGTAAATTTGTTCTTCTTTTCCTGTCTGGGTAGAACTAGATCTCCAACAGAGAATTTATTTGGTTTACTATAACTTCGTTTGTCTGCATGGTATTTTATCTTGCGTTTAGCAGCAGAATCCTTAGTGGCGATTGCAGGTGGAGTGGGGTGTAAGGTGGGCATTTCAGGGAGTTTGGTTTTGATCTATCTGGCGACCCATCAGTAACTCGGCTGGTGATTTTCCTGTGCTTGAATGAGGTGTGGAACGATAATTTCTCAAGAATTTTTGAAGCTCTTTCTCCCAATTTTTTTGTTCAGTTCGTGCAGTGCGAATGGCTTTTCCCAGGGTACGAATGAAACGTTCAGCCTCTGCATTGGCCTTTGGCCATAACGGTGTGACCTTCCGGTGTTTAAAACCCAGTTCTCTGGCAAAGACTTTGAACGCGTGGCTGGTAAATGGTGGACCGTTGTCGGTTTTTAACAGGTCTGGGATGCCGTGGGTTGCAAAAATTTTGTCAAGTTTGGGTATAGCAGCTGCAGCAGAGGTGGAGGAGACGATTTCAACTTCTACGAAACGCGAATATTCATCAATAACAACCATGAGGGTTTGTCCAGTAGGGAGTGGGCCATAGAAATCTGCAGCAACATTTTGACAGGGGTCCAATGGTAGGGGTGACATTTTAAGCGGTTAACGTTCTAACTTGCTTTCAGGATTTGCAGCTTAGCAAGGAAGGCAGTGCTTTATCATTTCTTCTGCTTGTTGATCAATGCGAGGGAACCATATCTTTTCGCGTAGTAATCGTTTTGTCTTGATAAGCCCTTGATGTCCTTCATGGGCTAGTTCAAGAGCTCGGCGGCGCAGGGTAGTGGGCATCACAATGCGAGAAACCCTGAGGATAATATCATTGTTTGTAGTAACAGTCAACTCGTGACGAAATTTGTGGAAAGCTTTGAGATCTCTTAAATTGTACTTGTCTTTGTCATTAGGACAGGAATTATCTGTATCGAGGACCGAGTGCCATTGTTGAGAGCGAATAATTTCAGCAAGCTTTTGTAGTGTTGGATCCTTTAATGTGGCATCCTGGATTTCAGCTAGTGTCATTGCAATTGGAACTGCAGATTTTGTCAGAAGGGACACATATTCTTCTGCAATGTTACGCTCACGCAACGGTTGGTTTTGTAATGGATGGCGAGATATGTAGTCAGCAGGATTAGTTTTGCCAGGTTCATAGCGAACTGTGAAATTCTAAGGTTGTAATCTAAGATTCCAACGTTCGAGTCGAGCAGGAGGCTTCGCTTTCGGGTTGTTTAAGATGTGGATGAGTGGCTTATGGTCAGTGATCAGTGTGAATGGTGCACCATATACATAAAGATGGAATTTTTCACATCCCCATACACAGGTTAGAGCCTCGCGCTCAGTTTGTGAATATCTTTGTTCGACAGGCGACAGAGAGCGACTAGCATATGGCACAATATTTGTCCCACTGCACCAGTTTTCTGGGTTAAAATGGCACCCAGGCCCACAGGGCTAGCATCGACAACAAGCTCAGTGTCCTTGGCAGGATCGAAATAGGCCTTTGTAGGACTAGTTGTGAGGCGACGTTTTAACTCGTCAAAAGCATGCTGATGTTGTTTTGTCCATTGCCATTTGGTTCCTTGGCGAGTCAGAGCACGAAGTGGGGCTGTGATGGTGGAGAAGTCATAGATAAAACGGGAGACATAGTTAACTGAACCGAGGAAACTACGCAGTTCTGCTGTGTTGGTTGGTGGGGTGGCATCGTGTATTGCTAGGACTTTTTTTGGATCAGGTTTAATGCCAGCTGGACCGAACATGTAGCCAAAAAAATCAAGATTTTCCTTGTCAAAAACACACTTGTCAGGATTCAGAGTTAGTCGTTTATCCCTCAGGCGGTGAAAAATTTCCTTCAGGGCTTTATCATGTTCTGCTGTTGTTTTGCCGAAAATGATAATGTCATCACTAGTGTTTAAAACACCATTTATGCCTTCAAGGGCGTGCTGTATGGTGTGTTGAAAAATTTCAGCAGCTGATGAAGTGCCAAAATTTAATCGCTTGTATCGTTTTAGTCCCTTGTGAGTAGCAAAGGTTGTGATGTGTCTTAATTCTGGCGCAAGGACGAGTTGGTGGTATCCAGATCGCAGATCGAGCTTGCTGAATTTTTTGGCACCATTAAGTGAGTGAATGATGTCATCAACAGTCGCTGAAGGGTGTCGTTCGCGATGGATGGCGCGATTGGGAAGCCGCATGTCTACACACACACGAACTTCGTTGGGATCTTTCGGTTTTGGGGCAGCAACGATTGGGCTCACCCATGGTGTTGGGCCAGTTGCATCTTCAATAATATCATTTTCCTCACGTCGCTTTAATTCTTCGGCAACTTTGTTTCTCAGGTGGAAAGGGATTCTTCTCTCTGGTTGTGCAATAGGTGGAACATTAGGATCGATGTGGAGCTTTATTTCAACATCGCGCATCTTGCCAACACCCTGGAAGAGGTGTTCATACTGTTTTACGAGAGCATGGGTATTGGCAGAGGTGGTGGTTGTCAAGCATTTGGGTTTGAACTTCGTGGAAGGTGGAGTTGACTTAGAGCGCTGTGAAGTAGATTGGTCTTTTGAATGCAAGTCATCGGTTGTTGTGTTGATTGAGCTAACATTAAATCTGATGAGATCAAGTTCTTGTGCAGTTTGGTAGCTAAAGAGAGAACCATGGTCCTCTTTGACAACATAGAACATAGCAGAAGTCAGACGACGACGTGATTCAACTACAGTGGCAAACGTGCCTACGACGGGTAATGGGGTTCTACTACCATATGCATAAACTTTAGTTTTTGGCTTCTTTAGTCTGATTGAATTACGCTTGGTATTATTCTGCAGCCTGGAAAATGCATTTTCATCAATAACATTGATGGAAGCACCAGTGTCAATCATGAACAGGAAATTTACATTGTTTATTTTAATCCTCGCTTGAGGTAATGTCACGCGATTTATTTCTGGGTTTTCGGATTTTGTAGGCTTGCTTGGTGCAGTTTGTTCGCTTTGCACCGAGTAAAGATATTCATCAGATTCAGAGCTTGAGGTCTCTGGTCTACGTTGTTGTTGGTAGTCAATATTTCGGACGTGCTTTCTGTCGCGACGGCGAGAATTTGTTTGTTTTGTCGAACGACAAACCTTGGCAAAATGTCCTAGACGATTACAGTTATTGCACCGTTTCCCTCTTGCTGGACAAGGTGTATTAACATGCGGCCAAGAGTTGCCACAGTTATAGCACTTCGACATGGACCGGTTGTCGTTGATTCGGCGATCAGTGTTGTTTTGGCGAGAAAACTCGGGCGACTTGTGGTCGAATGAAGAACGACTTCTAGTATCATGACGTGTTGTGTTGTGTGACTCATTTCGCCGATTTTCATCTTCGTTTATACGTAAGGTAGCAAGCTCTTGTGTTGAATTGTCCATGCCTTTTTCCATATCCAAAGCTTGTTTTGTTGAATTTTCTAGAGCGCGAGCGTGTTCGAGTAGTTTTGCAAGTGTCATGTTGTCATCTCGCAGGGCATTCTCTCGTAATTTCTTTGATGAACATCTTTGAATTATCTGAGATCGAATTTCATCATCAGTATTAGTAAATTCACACGTAGATGCTATATCTAATTGTCGGAGACGGGTATAAAACTTGTCAACGCTTTCGCTATCCAGTTGCTGAGCTTGGCGAAATTTGTATATTTCAAATGTTTTATTTTTCTTCGGCGAAAAATAATCGGTGAGAAGTTTTAAAGCAGTTTTGTAGTCTTTGGCTTCCTCTGAGTCAGGGAGATTATCGAATATTTCATGAACAGCTTCTCCAGCACAAAATAAAAGCAAGGAACGTTTCTGTTTGTCCTCAGTAAGCCCTGTAGCGGTGATGCATGTCTCGAGGCGCTTCGTCCATCGCTCCCAGCGAATGCCTATATTATTGGGGTCTTCAACGTTGAATGGAGCAATAGGAGGCGCTTGGAATAAACTAGTAGCCATTAGAACAAGTTTGTTTTTATCCTCGTCGCCAATATAAAGTTGTATCTTTTTACTTAGACTGATATAACTCTTAATACTATGAACTCAAACTATAATCGTGCTATTCAATAACATTCCTAGTGTTCTGCTCCATGTATCCATTTCCACGTGACCCAGCTCATGTCTGTTTCCCGCCTTTATGCGGGTTACTTATTAACTGAACATTACATATTCCTGTTATCCAACCACATTATCATTGATGCATGACCAAGTACAAGGATCATGAAAAATGAAAAATTTCCACAAATACAGTAAATATTTTCCAGGTTATTAAACAGTAAGCTGATACCTTACTCCCATCAGCCTAAAGGTGCTTTATTTATGGTCTCAAGCTCACATGCAATGAAACTACAATGCCTGGGAAACCTTATTGTAAGCCATTGTGTGGTGAATGATTTGACAGGGAATTGAAATTTTATCTTTGTCTGCCCAACAAAAAGTCAATTTATATTATTAATATTGACATGTATAAATTGGCATACAATAATTGTATTATTTTCTCAAGTATATTGTCTTACCATTTCACAATACAGTGAACTTCATCAATAGCCATGATGGAGAACATCCGAACATTCTAAGTTTCAGAATTAGGATTTCATGATCAACAAGATCAAAAGCCTTTTTGAAATCAACAAGAAGAAGTCCATTTCATTTTTTGTTATCAATATTAGTTAAAATTTTATCAGTAAGATGAGTGACTGCTAATTCACATGAGCGAGATGTTCTAAACTCAAAACAAGAAGATTATACTCAGTTAGGAAATGATAAAAAGAATCATGAACATGGTGTTCAAGTATCTTAGAGATAAAGCCCAAAACTGAGATAGGGCGAAAGTTGGAACGGCCAAATAGTGAACCCGATTTGAAAAGAGGTGAAGCCATTGCAATTCTCCACAAGTCAAGAAAACTAGCCGAATTAATACTGAGATCATATATCTTTGTCAGAGCAGGTGAAATAACTGTTGCAGCTGTTTTAAGAAAATATCCACCAATTCTATCTAAACCAACGACTTTAGTTTCAGGCAGATGATTAAGGCTGTTTCGAACAAAACGTACTTTGAGATATTGGGGGGATAGTAAAGTTTGTATTTGGAGGAATTTTAGAAGAAAGAAAATTAGAATGTACGTTTAGCGTCTCTAATTAAGTGAACTACTCGATTACGTGCAGTTCTACAATATTGTCAAGACAGGGGAGTGTTCGTGGAGATAGCACAGTGGTGTAAATAATTTCGTTTTTTAAGGTTTCAGGTTGATTGACTCTTTTGACACGCTTTTTTTTAATGGTGCGTGATTATCGAGACAATCATTAAACAAAGAGTACCAGTGTTCAACAGCTTCATTGATATCAGTGAACATATCTAAAGTAATCCATGGTATGTTTTTTTAAATCAGCTTCAAATTGTTCTGCAGAAAAATTCTTTAGTGATCGGTAATCAATGTACTTATGTTCGTTTGAATTTGAGAAGTTACTTCGTGTAGTCCAATTAACAAAGGCTGGTAAATGATCACTTATAGAAATCGGTAAGGTTCCAGATGTGGAGACATTATCCTTCTGAGAAACGTAAACGTGGTCAAGCAAAGATCTTGAGATAGGCCTGGTTGGTACGGTAATAAGCTGAACGTGTGTTACATGTATCAGATAACAAGTCAAAATTGAAGTCTTGGAAGACTTATTGTTGGGTTACCGTCAGCATCCGTTTTAGATATCATAGAGTCTAATGTATCCAGGTAAGCAGCACCAGAAGAAGGAGGGCGATAAATAAACGATACTAATAAGGGTTTTGAGCTAGGAAAATTAATCTCAATCGATATGCATTCAATTCCATTAATTTCCAGATCCAGGCGTCTTTTGAAAATTAAATGCTCCGGGATGTATATCAGAAGGCCACCACCTTTTTTACCATTTCTGTCGGAACGAAGGAAGGTGTAGTGATCAACAGCTAAGATCGCATTATCCCACGAGTTGTCTAAGAATGTTTCGGAAAGGCCAAGTATCAAATTTGATCTGATGGATTTTGATGAGGAAATTCGATTTGAAAGTATCAGTTTGATTTCATCTAATTTATTTGTTAACGACTGGACATTTAGGTGACAAAAATTTAGACCTTTTAATGGTAATTTTGAATTTCCGTAATATGTACTGTAGGTATGCTGTTCTGCATTTTGTGAGCTTTGATTTAATGTAAAATTTAACCTGAATCGCTTCGTAAAATGTTTTGAAATGTTCATTTTATAAAACAAAATTAAATAAGTACAAATTGTTGAGTAATTTCAGTTCAGTTTTAAAATTAATTTGCTCTCCTTTACAGTTTACCTTTTTTCTTAAATATTAAACAAGGTAATTTAGCAAACTTTAATCCTATGTCATAGTTTGGGAATTATCCTATTTAGATAGTTTAGATGATTTTAAGAACTTCTGCAATATATTTTATAATTCGAAAATTTTATCTTCATGGACTTTCAGGGGCTCAAAGTCGGCGATTTTTTGCTTAACCGAGAGTGTAAAAGGACTAGGGCGAGAGTGCCTGTAAACGCCGGATGTGACGTCAACCGGGAACTGATCAAAACAAAATACATATGATTTGCTATAGTTTCTTGATAAAATCGAGTATAAATTAGATGTTTCTGGAAATTTCTTCGATATTTCGATTGAAATTTAAAATTTAAATGGAACTATATCCTTTAACCTTCGGTTATCCAACTGACAGGCAGTCTGGGCGAGATACTATAAATTTTATGGCTGAGTGTGCAGGTCAAACACGTATACGCTGATGCTAATCTATCTTGATTTATATAAGCAAATTTATATATAACAATATATAAATTCAAGTTAATGAGACAACACGTTTGTCACCTTCAAACCTGGTTATAATCTCATAGTAACAGGATAAGCGTGTCAACAGCCACAAAAAGGCGATATCCAATAGTTCAAAGTTCAAATGTTTCCCTGGGCACGTGTAAACCGAATGAAAGATCAACTGACCAATCATATGTCAACAACGAACACGCAGATAAGGGAGTTCACTTTGACAAATATCCCAACAAAGAGCAATGTCTTGTTACCGAGAAAGGTTTATTTCCACCCACCCACCCGTTCATGTTCCTGGTATCTGGTGCATTGTATGGGTACTAATGTTATGCAAGGACTGTTTAAGAACAATTTGTCAAGAAAGACTATCGAACAATTTTCTCATGTGTAGTGACTATGTCTCTATGACGTCACGGACATGATACGTCACTAGGACATAGGAGACATGAGCACGAAATGTGCTCGGACAAGGGATGAGTTTTGGAGATTGTGAGCGAAGTAGTTTGTATTAAAATATTATAGTTAGACAATAAAAGATAAAACTCAACATTGGCGACGAGGATGGCCACTTCAAGTGGGTCTATGGTAAAACCCATGCCACCTTTTGATCCGGACAGCGAAATTGGAACAAATCTCGCTCCAAAATGGAAGATATGGATAGAAGATTTTCAGATGTATCTAGTCGCAACGGGCATAACTGACAAGAAACGACAACGTGCATTGCTTTTGTATCAAGCTAGCGCACAGGTTCGTGAAATATTTCGCCAGCTCCCGGACACTGGGGATGATTTGGAAACAGCAGTGGCAAAGTTGAACGAATACTTTGAACCCCAAAAGCATCGCCTTTATGAGGTATACAAATTTCGCCAAGCCGCTCAAGAGAACAATGAAGCCATTGATCAATACCACACTCGGTTGCGAAGCTTAGCAGAACGATGCCAGTTTGAGAATATGGACTTTGACATTATGCTACAAATTGTCCTAAAAGGATCATCAAGCCGACTTCGAAAGCAAGCGTTACGGGACTCTAAAATGACGCTCAAAGATTTACTGATCGCCGGTAGGCAGATAGAAATGAGTAACTTTCAAGTGGCCGACATTGAACAAAAACAATTCGAACGGCAGGAACTACACGCTCTACGGAAAAACACGCGTCAACAGCCTTCCAAAGGCACTTGTCGAAATTGTGGCGGCGAATGGCCACACGAGAAGGGCAATTGTCCTGCTCGGGGCAAAGAATGCAGAAAGTGTGGCAAGCTAAATCACTTCGCCAGACAATGTCGTTCGTCGAAACCCGACAACGAAGTACCGAATCATTATCCAGAAAGTAATCGCCGGGGTAACAAGATCCGACAGGTTGTTGGCCCTCCGGATAATCAAAGTGAATCCAGTTCAAGTGATGAGTCCAGCTATTGTTATGCGGTCAAGACAACAGCTAAAAATAACCCCACTACTAAGGTCACAATAAACAAACATCAGGTGAAATTCACCGTAGACACAGGCTCCACTATTAATGTCATCGACCAGTCTACCTTCAAGCAACTGGGACCAATCACACTTCGCAAGACCCGTATCAAGGCCTATCC